TAGTATTCTTCTACATGGGATATGTTTAGCCTCGGTCATCAAGTCGCTTCATACAACTGGCACTCGAAAGCATTCTGGCACACGATTCGTGTCAATTTTAAAATTTTGATTTTGTCTTAAATATTGGATATCGAGCCCAACTTTTCGCGGTAAGATGACAACACCAATGATGCTTTAAATTGACCAATAAGTCGTGTTTGCAATGTCGAAAACTGTCGATGATATTGAGTTAAAGAGTTCTCAATTTTATTTTTTTTATATTTTTTTCATTATTCTAGCGCGTGCTTTCCTCACACCGACTACAGCAAATTAGAGCAAACTATCTGGCATAGATATTAGCCTTTTAAAGGGTGTATAAAATCAATTGCCGACGTCCGGTTCTCTATATATGGTCTCGAGCGACATTTGTAATGAACAAAGCAAACACATCTCACAAGTCAATGCGGACGTAATTAAAATGGCTGATCCAAGGTAAACTTGTAGACTGGCCTAAAAAGGCGGAAACCACTACCGTTCAATTTGGACTGCTCACGTATTTCACCGAACAAGACTGATAAGAAATTACAATAAATAATTTTTAAAAAAATGAATGTTAATCAGTTTATGTATTAGAGATTCTGCTTTTCGAGTTCGACACATTTTCGTCTATTATGGGGTTCTATTGTCTAGAGGTATACACTCTTTAAGAACAATCTGAACGTCACACAATGCCATAATACACATTTACAGGAATCAGATAATGCAACATGAGCTGTTACGATCATTTGTAAAGTTCCTAGCTATACACACTTTAATAACATCCCGAATGTTACACAATGCAAATATACTGAATCAAATAATGTAACATGAGAGAACCAATTATAGTGTAACATAATGGGGAAAAAAGCTATTTCTATAATTACTTATTACATACTTTTCTCTAAGTTGTTTACGTTCAACTATTTCTATTATTGCCAACGCATCCTATTTATTTTCATGGATGGTTTTAGAATGATGTTTATATTTACAACATATTTTCTATAGGGACCTTGTCTATAACTTGTTAATGAGCTAGTTGTCGAGTTCTATTTTTACTTTAATTGCTGTGTTGTTTATTTATGTGTGCGTAACCTGGGGTTTCTTTGTGTCATTTGTATCAACAACCTTGTTCAGTACATGATTGCCGCTGGTCTTTTTCATACAGTGCAACAGTGCTTGTTCATAACAACAAAATAATAAATCGAAACATTAGGTTGCCAGACAAAGAAACATATGCTTCGACAAGCCGCGACATCGTTCGGGTCGCCATTAAAAGAAAGAATGGGGATAAACGTCCACTCGACACAAACTAGGTCATTTCGGGACTAAGCACCTCTAAATCTCGAAACCAAATAAGCTCATTGACTGCTTTCAGTTATGCAATTCTGAGATGAACATTACTCCAGCGCTGAGAGTTCAGTGTTAGATATTGAGTCCCCGGCCTAAAATGGCAGAATTTTATTTTCTGCCCTAACTGAAAAATCATTAAGTATTTATAGTTTGTCTGAATATATAATTGAATGGATGCCAATGTCTGTTATGGTTGCAAATAACTATAATTATATAAATATGTATAAACTGGTTTGTGTAAACGTTTATTCAGATTATTGTAAATGGTGATGATGACGAAATCTGAATTGCGAACCAGTATACTCGTGTACAATCCCTCTTAATCGAAATCCAATGAACAATATTCGTCGATTACCCGCTTTACGATAGACATGTAACGATTTCTAGTCAAAATGAAAGATTAAATTAAGAACCCCGGTTGTCAGATTAATAATGGCGTGGTTAGATAAATACACTAGTCATACATCACGATACAGATTGTTGGTGGCGCAATCATCCGTCGCTTAACTTAGTTTGTTTCACGTTTAGTTATTCTATTTCTTGTGTAGGTCGTCACGATGTCTCGCGTCTCCCGCAATTAATATCATGTTTTTGTTCATATTTGTACTGCATAATCGAAACATTTTTATTTAAACAGCAACTTTAAGAAATAATCCAATTGCTGAAGCGCCACGTTTTAGAGTCCCTGCGTTTTCTGAAAGTACGGGTGTACTATACGGAGCATTACATCATTGCATTACATCATCGCATTAGATCATGACGTTATATACACATAGCAGTTTCGTCTCAATTGCAGCTTATCAGATCAATGATCCTTTATGAAATCTAATTTCTAAATATGTATATAAAAAATTTTTTTAAAAAAATCTGTTAAAACCTATAGCATCTATCACGTTCACAAGGTTTTCGGCATAGGCGGATAACTCAGGTACAGAAGGCTGCGGATTACAGCAGTAGTGAAGACCTGTGATATAATATCAATGTAGCAACGATGTCGCGTTTCTAAAGGATAGTCGCCAAAACAGGGAAAGAGCATCAGATTATGGCGCAGCGACGATAGGTTACAGGAGAATCTCGACACTAACCAGGCTATTTATGACATATTTTATTTCCATAATTCGCTCGCCCACATGTTTGTTTTTAGTCGCGTGAAGAATTTGAAGCGCTTAAAGAAAACCCACGGAGTTAGGCTGGTTAATCATAGATTGAAAATCTATTTACTGTAACATTTTATATAAATATTATTGTGTTTTGAAAATAAAGACTAGTAAAGGATATTAAATTTCTCTGGAAAATCGTTGTGATATTAGTTAGCCGGGTGTGTGTTAACTGTTAAGACTTGTGTGTGAAACCTTGCTCTGGCACTTTAAATAAGTAATCATTACAACACAAATTGGTAGATCATTATCCTATTATTATATTCCGTGTTTCCAATTGTTATCTTTTCTGCTTCTAATTTAAAATCCTTCCCAACTAATTGCACAGGTAGAAATATATACAAATGTCTCTTTCATTAAGTGCATCTTACTTTGAAAAAAATACTTTCTGACATACCATAGAGAAACCCTTTAAATGCTCAGGTCAGGTGGTTTCATATATATTGTTAAAGTAAAAAATTTGCACTATTTTAATGGAAACATTGTTTCTGGTATCTAATTAAAGTGGCATTAGGTAAGATTAGAAATAGAGCTGACAGTTCTAGCTATAATAGTTAAAAATGGATAATGAAAAGAGAACATGTTGAAAATTTCAGTCAAATTACTTAACTCTGAGCCAAGGAATCGGCGATACAATTATAAGCTAGCCTCGGTTGTCATTACTACCGTTGTTACGATAATAAACAAAGTCTCGATTATCAACTTGCGGTTACTGCATCCCCCACAAAACATATTTATATCTACTAAATATCGCAGTCATTTGATGACATCGACAGTTGTTGTAGTCTTGGTAAGTTAATTAATGTGTAACTAATAATTCATATAACATTTTAGGCCTAAATAAGACCTGCAATAGGCAGATTTAACTATTGCCTAACGCATGTTTATGCACACCTGAGTTTAAAAGAATAAACTGGCTCGTACGAAAATGATATCATAATATTATCATTACTATATATGTCTAAGGGAAAGAAAGATGTCAGTGTGAAATCAAAGAAACCAACGGAAACGTAAAATGGTCGTAACTTGCTTGCAATAAAATGTTATTTTCTAAAACCAAGAGTACTTTAGATTGTGAATAGTCTTAAACTCTATATTGAACCCACTATTCAAACACGTTGGGGTTTTAAGAAGAAAATGGTGAAAGATGACAGCCGGTAATAATGCCACACACATAATCTAGACCTAAATTCGAAAGATTATCATGACTTACAACTGATTTTCTGAACGAGTTATACCTAATCGGAAATAAAAAGAATTGAAATAGGGCTTAACATCCTACTTTTCTGCTCCATCCAGGATAATGAAGACCGACATACGCCATGTTGTGTGCTATGATGGAAATTGTGCCTCGACAGCAGCGATACGGCATACTCTTGTTTCGAATTCTAACTGCCATGGGTTGTTACGTGCACGCCAGTGTGTACTCGAGACCTCGCTTTTTTCATACCAATTCAAGCGACTGGCATCTGCTTGGTCCTGCGTCGCTGACTATGGCAAACCAAGAAGGAAAATCTTGTGAAACTTTCGCGGACAACATCGGGTTCGAACCCAGGACAACGAGCCAGCGCCTTACTCACTGAGTCATCGTGGATCCCATCCCTAATCGGTAATCAACATAAAATTTATATGAGAAAACAACAATATATTTGAATTGTTAAGAAGTACAACCGTTGAACAACTATGTGATAGCATAGTCAGTCAGGCAGTCAGTCAGTGTGGTTTAACGTTCGCTTCCACCTTGGGTGATATCGCAGACAATAAAAGACAAGTGGTGTTGGATGTCAAAAATACCGGCAGAGAATACACATCTGGTGGTTTGTAATTAGAAGATCGTTCACCTCAGTGTGCCAAAAAATGGGTGGCACAAATGCAATAAAATACATGTTCATTAAAAAAAAACATAATGTAAAGTTGAATATACATAGGTGATAAATTTAATTAACAAGTCAGTTTACATACATTCACCTGTCAAAAACCATGGCAACTAAATCATATTTCCTCGTGAAATGTACGTTTTTCTATGTCTGACATAAGTTGCTTTTGAAGAACACGTTTACTTTATATGTGGTAAATAATTAGATAAAAACAGTGAATACATATGTTAATATACCTTTGAAACTAAAAGGAACCGCGGCATGATATGGATGGAATTACATGTATATTCATTCCTTTAAACCGTGTATGAATTTTGGAAATAAGTCTTTGAAAGTGAATGTACAGAATAAAACAGAGGAAATATTTGGTCAGGTCATTCCTACATGCTATAAACAAAATAATGCCCCTGTCCAAACTGGGGACGTTATTCCCGACAAAATCCTGAAGTTCTAGGTCGGGTCTCTTTCTGTAAACCGCGGTTAACACCTAACACCCCTCTATCACCTATAATTGGAAGTGGAATACGTCAGAGCAAAGGTCCATGGTCAGTGTGAACAAACTTTAGTGAAATATTAGTACCAAAAACACATGTTTTACCTGATTTTCCCACATTTCTCATCCCTAATACAGCAATATTAACATCTTTATTTATCCCATTAGGATGTTTAGGGTGTGCTTTATCATCCATATTGTTCTAAACTACAATATCAGCTAACTTGAACCACGCACATGTATGTGGTTCATAAGAGCGATATCCAAAGAGTACATGTATAAGTCATGTCCACCATAATAGATCACTGACACTCGCTTTATTCAGCCTGGATATTCCTTGCTAATCATTAGCTAATGCTATATAACACTAATAGGTTAAAGCTGTAAATTATTTTATATAAATGTTATCTAATAGTTTCATATAGTATGACATTTAAGTCTTTTTAGAACCCATTATCTGCTACTAAAAAAGTGATTGTTATATGCCAACTAATTTCTCTAATTAGCACAATTATTATATCACATATTGTAAAACTACGAACACTCAATTCTTCCTGACACAAGAATAACGGTATATAAATCCCAAACATTCAATACTGCTATCACATAAAATGTCTCGTGTTTATTATATTCTCAATTCTCAATGAGTGTGTTTTTACAGAACCGCCGTGATCGGAGAACTTGAGACCTAACACTTAATACAATCCAACATCTGCATAAATATTTAAAAACTCTAGTAATATGAATGTGAAAATAAGAGGAACTCCTTTGAATATTCACAGACTGGTAGACGGAGGCGGAAATTTACTTCTTAACTGATTTTCTAAATGAACACAGTTGAATAATAGCCCACGGGAAGAACTTGTCACATGGAGTGATTAGTAACAGTATACTTGCAGTCAAATATCCACTTCAATTATATCTCAATATGCCGTAGGTCTGTGATTAATTGGCGATCACACATTGACTAATATAACTAGTAGTACAAACTACTGCAACATGACGGGTGTAATGTCATATTGATTGTATAGTTAAACTGTATACTAGATAGAGGAGTCAATGTTAACTATATTATAACGTACTACAAGCATCACTGATACTGATAATAGAATCATCTCACTATGAAAGCGTTCTTCTATCATTTGGCATCTGATTAGTTTGTATAACCTGTTACATGCTTGTACAGGTAACATCTACAGGTGCCCCATTAAAAACGAGCGTATATTTAAAGGGCGTATAACTCTATTCTTTGGAACCTTAAATAGACGAAAATGGCTCGAAAAGCGCGTATTAATATATGAATACTGATTTATGTTCGGTGAAATACGTGAGCAGTCAAAATTGAATGACAATCATTTTCGCCTGGTTATCCAGTCCACACATTTATCTCCTTTTTTTTTATTTTGTCGTATGTGGATTAGCCATTTTAATTACTCCTGCATTGACTTGTGGGACGTGTTTTGCTTTCTTCATTACAAGTGTCGCTCGAGACCACAGAGAACTCGAATTTTAAAATGCTCACAGTCAACTGTGTGTTAAATAATGGATATCAGGAGTACATATTTTCACGATAGGATAACAACATCAATATTGATTGAAATAGACCAATATTGAATTCTAATTCGTGTTTTTAGTTTCCAATATTATGGATATTTCCAGGGCTCCGGAGCGCTCAGAGGTCCATCGGTCCCTATTGGAAAAACATAATTTGCCATATATATATTTTTTCAAAATAATAAAATTCTTCTTCGCATCCACTGAGAAATATATTGATCTATATCCAAGGAGAAAGTGGGGTGTGGGGCAGGTGAATTAAACTAGTTTCGTTTTTTCATCATGTCACGTATTCTTTACCGTGATGGTATAGCCAACGGAAACCAGTTGGTATGAGGGCCGAGAGCTACTCAATCCGCCTCTGGATTCTTTTGAGTTAGAGCCCTGTAATGAATCATATTATGTTGGAAATAACCCAAGATTAACCAAATTATCGAAAATCCAAGAACTAGACTCCCAAGATAATTAATTTGCACGGCGGGTAATGTGGGTTCTTTCTTTTATCAAGATAAACAACTTAATAACAATCTTTGTCGATCCACGGATAATTATGGTCCATAGAGTGTTACCAAGGTTCCTTAATCAAAAGCAGAACTCATGTATTTATAGTTGGAAATCATCGATTTTCAATAGGATTTTTCTCTTTACTATGGTGACCCATTTATTTATTTATTTTTGTGATTTTTAAAAATAAAAGTATTTTTTAGATGAAATAATAAAATAAAGTTGTGTGGCAGCCGTGGGCCACCATACTTTACGAAAATATTCAACCATAATTGTTGAGCTTTCACAAGATTTTGCGGACAAGCGAGCGCACCGAAAGGGTAACAGCCATATAATAATGAGAGGTTTGGTATCGATAAACTATTCTCCCATTTGGAAAATGCTTGATAACACTGAGAGAACCGTCAACTAAACGTCCCATATTATGTTATTGAGACAAAACATTCTTTGTGATTTGAATCATTCAGTCAGCACTGAAAATAAACATATTTAAAGATGCATAATGTAAGATTTAGATAAAGAGCTAACAGTTCTCTCGCTATGATAGTTAAAAACTAGATGATGAAATCTGGAAAATTTCAGTCGAATTACTTCATTCTGAACAACGTTAGGGCTGTTTGAATAATAGCGGAGTCTCAATTGTTATTGCTACCATTGTTACGATAGTAACAAAGTCTTGATTATCCATTTTTTAATTACATCATTAACCGTGTTTAAATAAGCTGAAAATCGAGAGGATCCGATGGCATAGAGAGTTGATTATGGTCTTGGCAAATTTAGTCAGATTTAGCTCCTGAATAATGCATCTTAATTCTATAAATTGGTTCAAGTAAAGTTAGTTTCGTTGACAATTTGGCTCTCATTTCAATTCCTTCAATTGTTCCGATGTTTTCATTTTACTCTCAAAAGACCTCAATATAAACCCGTTATTTATAACTGTGATGAGTTCATATGTAAGCACCGTGTCTAAATATAGAATAATATAAGAATTTTATGTTTATATAGTAAGTGTGATCTATCTATATTTGTATTGGGTTGTTTTCATAGACTGTCTTGGGTCTATTCCCAATTATGTTTTTACCACACTTAAACAATACAAGATAAACGATTGATGTCGGCTTAGACATTTCACAACATAGAAGATACTATGTGATTTATTGTGTATATGATTGGCTTATACACGGAGTGTGGAAGTATGTCTCTGCGGGGTGGGAAGGTTGGGGGGGGGGGGGTATGTGGATATGAAAATGATGTACGTCTTTGATATCAGTTAGAGCACAATGAAATTAGATTAACTTAGTTCTTCTTTATTATTAATAGATTTAATTTCTGATTTGTAATGTTCCGAAATTTTTAGTCACTGTCACTCAAGACTTCTAGGTTACAACATCATATTTTGATCGATGCAGGGAAAGCTGGCATTTATCGCTAAATCACATCAACATTTATGAATTTTTGTCATGTTTAAGACGACTAGCAGCCAGCGCGCACAGCCCGAGCGCCAGTACAATGTCACGTTTAGTTATTACACAACTTTTGTATGTTTTCGCAGATATAATGGTTTGTGTTAAACGAAAAAACAATGAATCAGGCTTGTTTCTGGATTTTTGTGGGTTTTAGAAGGTGAATTCTTTCATCCATCGTTTTTAACTTCCGTGGTGACACATCTGTATGAATCGTTTTAGTATTCTGCAGTGCTTATAATTTTATAGAAAACACAAATAACACTTTAATTCAGTTAATCACAACCTTTTTTGTAACACATGAAAAAATAACCGCAAATAAAAGTCTGGTTTTATCCAGACACCGTATAATACAGCTGGGGGGGGGGGGGTCTCCATTTCCAGATGAAGACTGACGGGTTTAAGTTGTTTGAAAACGTATCACGTATATTGAGTTAGTTGCTCGGCCCTAAGGTATAGGATTTTAAGGGCTTTTAACTCAAAATTAAGCAGTTTTATTCTCCAAAATATAATGGAGATTGGCCCTTTAAACTAAAGCGCGGATCTAGGAATTTTTGGATCGTGGAGACTAACTGAAAACGTACAAATTTTACTTTCGAATCGCGATGCAGAAGCTTTTTTGCTTTTGGACATGCCTTTATGTTTTTTCTTTAAAGATACATTATTCAAGAGATAAATCTGTCTTTAGGTCTTAACTGTTACATAAATTATTAATTGGACATTTATTAGCACGACGAGACCATAGTCAACTCTCGATGCCATCGGATGCGAGAGATTTTAACTAGATTAGAACGGTTCGTTCATTTAATGATTTTAATTTTAAAATGGAGGAGCGAGTCTAAGTCTCGAATATACTAGTACCGTGGTTACGATAATGAACAATCAATGCACAAATCTTGTCAAAACAGTGATAACTTGGCTCAGACGAAAGTAATTTAAATGAAATTATCTATTTTTGAACTACTATAACAAGAACGGTCAGCTCTTTATCTAAATCTTACATAATGCATCTTTAACATTATTGGAAAGATAGCTGCAACGAAGTTTTGTCATGAACTAAAGAAATATACTGACGTCTTACTGACAGCAAGTGTGTGGGTTTTGCAATTAATGTTTTTGAAGTTGTTTTAAAGTGTTATACAAGTGGTCAATATAAACAGATGTTCTGTTAGATTGTATAAATCTGTCATCAGCTACATCATGTATTGTTGCCATGTTATATTGAATAATATCTCTACCTTACACTTCGTTCATTATAACAAATATACCTATAGATAACATTATTGATTAACCTGGAAACTTCATAATAATGTTTATCTCTGTGCTGAAATAGATAGCTGAGAATAAAAGTCGATTTCTTACAACTTTTTCCGATTATTGGTGACTTTTTAATTCTGTTTGGTGGACTGAGTAGCAAACTTAGAAAACGAAAATAGCTGGAATTAAATCTAGGCCAAGTGAATATCGTCTTTTATGCGCCACCATCAATAAAACACTTTTTCTCAGAGACTGAAAAAATGGTTGGTGTATGCTTCAAGGAGATTGGTCGCGAACTTAGTGGCTCCAACTGTTCTGTCAATGGAAAACATGTGGCTTGAATATTTAGGCGTACATGTAGCTCCCTGGATTGACGTCACATTGTGAAGTAGGTGACCTTGTCCGATTAGTTACATTGTAGGCCTATCTCGTGCATTTAGTCACCATGAAGGCACTGAAGCCGCTTCAAAGGCAAAGTACACACCTAAGAACATAAACTTGGCTGCAGATTTGACATGGTGGCAATGTAGGGAGCTTTGACCGGTGATAATAAGATCATTAGTCAGACATCCTAGAGTTCATTGCTGTATCATATTTTTTTAGACTATCATTCCGCCGGACAGCACCATTCCTGGATGTGTCTCAACGTACCCGCAGAACTGTGTTATTACAACAAGACCTTGTCCCTGCCATGAGTGCAGAGCTCAAAACAGTTGGGCACGTCTTTGATTATCTGTTGTATGATACAAAAAATGGATTCAGCTATAGAGCAATTGGATGATCTGGTTATTTTTTCGCATTGTGAATTACGAAAACGACCCTAGGAATCCATATGACACATAGCGGCCCTACCCACTACCAAAGGTTCACAGACCCATATCTCTGACTTTAACACCTTTGCTATGTACTTGCTTTCAAATTTCAATGTTGAGTACGGTTGGTACAAGGATTTATCATCCCTCAATTTTCAGTACGGCTGATAGCAAAATGATATTAACCTTGGCAACGAACCTTATTCTATTTTGCAAATCACAAGAATGTAGAACGAGCTACCTTGTATTATACTAAAGAGAAGAACATTAAGCCGGGTAATTAAATAAACGTATATTTAATAGCAGTAGTTTATGTGTGTTTACCTGCGTGTATATACTGTCATCAATAAATCAACACCATACATCATTAACTTCAACTGTGTATTGTCAATCAGAACCAAGGCATGTCAAAATGGTCAAATAAAACGGTTCGGTTATAGCATCACA